ATATATATGTATATTGCCCATCCTGATGAGGCCAGAAGTGTCCCACGGTGCAGAAGGCAAGTTTTGCTGCCTGTGGGCCATCAGGGAAGAGCTGTTTTTCCAGGAATTCCTGAAAAATTTGAGAGTCACATGCAGGCCACAAGGTGTCCGTTTTGGGAATGATCACTAGGGAAAAAGCTGGATCTTATTAAAGATGCCCCATCAGTCATGCTCAGAACTGCCTTTGGAAGTTGCCTGATTTCCTGGATTTTCCACTTAAATGAAGTTTTCTTATCCTGCTCTTTCCTGTCACCTGTGAGAATTAATAAAACCCGCCTCCTTCAGCTAATCTTTATCAGCAAACTCAATAACCTCAAGAATAAGCACAGAGCTCCTCTCTCATCCCTTTTCACCCTAATTAAGAAGCTCTTAAGCATCTTCTTCCCTCGGGCATTACCTAATTAGGGCTCATAATTAAAGCTTTGCTCAGAGGTTGGCACCAGCCCAGGCCCCACCTGAGCTCCTGCCAGGCTCAGGTTGTCCCTCAGTCCTTGGTGGCACCTTGGGGTGTTGCAGGGCATCCCAGCAAGGAGCTTTTGGCACTTTCCAAGATTTCTTTCTCTGCTTCTTGCTGCTGAGTCCAAACTGTCCCCATGGGAACCTCCCTGGAATATTTCCCGTTATTCCTGTGTCCAAATTCCCTCAGTTAATTGATGTTAGGGCGCCAAAATCCTCCCAAACCACCCCCTGTCCCCAGTGATTATTTCAGATTTTCCCTTTTTGCTCCAAGAGCTGGAGAGTGTCACCTCTGGTCCCACTTCCCCAGCTGTGGTGTTCCCCTGCTGCCAGGACCCTCTGGGCATCCCCAACAGGAATATTTTCCCTCTGAGACCAGGGTTCCTTTGGGACTTGAGGAAGGCAAATGAAAACGCAGGGCTGGCTCAGTGGACATCAAAGGGTGGGGAAATCTTTCTTGGGAAATGCACAAAATCCTCATTTCTCTCATTAACACCACTGGAATCGGCCCCAGCAGGACACCATGGGAATGAAACCAAAACCAAAACCACTCCAGGCCTGATCTGGAGTTCAGCTGAGAAGAAGAGGGGAGAATTTCACTGCAGGTATTGTACATACCACACAGGAAATTCACACTGGTTCAAGGTACCTTTTCCCCACTTTCACCTCTAATTCCAGGTCCTTTTTATCATTAAAGTCCCACAGTGATGATTTATTGTCACAGAAACATCTGAAGGAGTCTGGTTTTCACACCAAGCCCTGGGGTGGAGGCTTGGCCCTGGGAGAGGCAGCTCAGCCAGGAAAATCAGGGAATGGGAATGGCTGGGGCCCCTCCTGAGCCTTCAGCATCTTCACATCATCCTTTAGACGATGGCTTTTAAGCTGTGTTAATAATAATAACAACAATAATAATAATTAATAATAATTTTAGAAATGATCCCTTCCCAGATCTAAAGGTCTGTCCCTGCCCTGCTGACCCCACAGCCACGGGGGAGGATTGGACTCAGCCATGGGCAAACACCACCAGGATCCCTCAGCACAGGGATCCAAACTGGTCCCACACCCACAACCACCAGGGGATGACTTCCCTTCCCTGCTCCCAGAGAAATCCAGGAAGAAGGTGTGAAGTTCAGGAATGTTTAAGCCAGCCAGATGGATTCTAGATGGGTTCACTTGGAACTGAAATGTGCCCAGGACCATTCCCAGCCTCCCCATTCCCACTCCTTTTGGCCACCTGGATTCCTTTCACATCACCACAGAAGGAAGCAAAGCGCCATTGACTGTTGTCATTATTTATTACAAATTACATCTTGAAAATCACTGTCTAAAAAAAAAAATCAATAGATTTAAATAAATATACAGATTTCAGGATGCTACATATGGCAGGTGTGCAATAAGTCACTTCAGGCTGGGACATTACACACACGAGGAGATTGACAGAGTACTTTACAGCAGTAGTTTTATTTTAAATTACTCACATTAAACCATGTGCAAAATTTCCTCTGGAACAAACCCTTTCAGGATTTTCTTCTTTTGTTTTTTTTAGAGTGACTCCAACCTTCAGAAGGTCAAAGATAAAAACAGATTCTCTGCAGCTTTGGGGACCAAATGATTAATCCAGGGCTTAAAGCAAAATCAAGGAATTCTTTTTCTTGTCCATCGGGACTACACTTGCAACAGCCACAGATTTTGGTCCACCACCAACTTCAAGCAGCCTTTCCAAAGCTCCTGTGCAGTCCTGGCGTGGGCAGCAGAGGAGCCAGCAGTGGAGAGCAGCTCTTCACCTGCCCAGGTGCAGCCCTGGCTTCCTGCAGAGCTCTGCCCAGGCAGACAAAAGTGCATTTGTGGCACAGCTCCGGAGCCCTGAGGCTGCCCTTGCCTGCAAGGTTGGTTTCTAGGCCCTGGGCTCAGTGGTTTTCCCAAATTTTTCCTTCTCTCCCCTGAGCCAGCAGATCTGGGTTTAAACCTGAGCCTAAGCTCAGACAGGGCTGTGCTCTCTTACAGAATCACGGCAGGGTTTGGGTTGGAATGGACCTTAAAGATCACCCAGCTCCAGCCCTGTTCCCACCAGTCCTTCCCTCCACACCATCCCTACCTGGCTGCCCCTCACCTGATGCATTCCCCACCCAGGTTCCCCTTCCCACGGTGACCTGACACCCCTGGGTGGTCATTTACTGCCCAGAGCCTGACTCAGAGCTGCCCTAAGCCAAGCAGCAAGCCAGGCTTTGCTGCCCTCTCCCCACCACCCCTCTCTGCCCCAGCCCTTCCCTCCAGGCAGAGCTGGGGTACTCAGGAGCTGGAAATCCTCACTGAGGGGGTGTCCAAGGAGAAGAGATGGGGTCACAGACCCAGACCAGGCTCAAGCCCTGCTCAAAGCCAGCCCCACAGCAGCCACACCTGGCTTTGCTGCCCTCCCTGGGCTAACTGATCCTCCACCTCAGCCAGGACCTCAGTGGAAATCCACCTCAGCGATTTCTCAGCCAGTGAACGCCCTTGACTGCTCAGCTGGCTCCAGGTGATGATGAAATAAACTTTTAATACAAACTAGGAGCTGTTCCACCACGGCAGCTTCATCCACAGGCACTGACTGACAGAATAGTGCAAAGGTGGGCTCGGGCTGGGGGCAGCTCTCCCCTGACCACAGTGAGCAGCCAAACCCCTCTGGACATGGCCAGCTCCGAGGCAGAGCAGCCCAGGCCAGCGATGGGCTGGGTCCAGCACTGCCCAGAGCCCCCCAGTTCACCCACCACACGTGGGCTGGGTCCAGCACTGCCCAGAGCCCCCCAGTTCACCCACCACACGTGGGCTGAGCCCCTGCTGAGGCTCCAGGCCAGGGTCTGGCTGGTGCTGCTCCAGCACGACCCTTGCTCGATCCAAAAAGGCACAATTCAGCTCCAGGACACTTCTCTGGCTGTACGGAGAGAGTTTTTCCCTTTACAGCAGTCCCTTGAGTGCCGGATCACGCAGCAGGAGCACGGAGACTTCCACTTCCTTCCGCTCACGGCCTTCCCTTCAGCTCCAACAGCCAGCAGCGGAGCTGGTGGCACCCACAGGACTCCAAATTCTTCTGGTGAGCTTGGTGTGCACCTGCCTCTTATCTCTTCTTCCTCCAGATGTTTTTTTCCCAGGGCAGAGCCGGTGGCTGTGTGTCCCTCCGGGAGCGCTGCTGGCGGTGGCTGGAGCGCGGGCTGGAGGCCCTGAGGTCCCTGGGAGCAGAAGGGACACCGTGGTCACTCCCCAGCCCATCTTCCCCCTAACTCAGTACCCCAAATTATGGCATTTATCCCCCCCACCAACCACAATTTGCTGGGAGGCAGGAGATGGGGGAAGGAAGAGCAGGAATTTCTGTCCACAGCTGGATTAAGGCACAGTGGAGCTCCACCAAGCCCAGTGAGGTGGCTGAGGGTTCAAGGATGACCCAAAGTGCTGCTTCCCCAAATCCACCTTTCAGAAAGTGCCCCCATTGCCTCTGATTTAATTGCCACCAATTCATTAATTTGTCTTTCACTCAATTCCACTCCTGGGGTTGTTGCTTCTCCCCAGATTCCCTGATGTGGGGTTAGAAAAGCTCTGTCCTTTGGTTCAAAATTGCTGCCCAATAAATTATCTTCCTAGGTGATGCCATTCCCCTCTCCCTCTTCTGTCCCTCTGCCTGTCCCTCATCAGAGGAACTCCCCACTCCAACCGAGAATTACATTTTGTGTGGCATTTCTCTGGTTTGGGAAGGGCACACACAGCCCTGGCTCCATCAGATGGAGCAGAAAGAGCCAATTCTCCCCATTTAAAGGGGACAGGAGGAGGCAGACAGGCGGCAGAAGGTCAGGTCTGAGTGGTAACTGCAGCCTGGGGCCACAATCCCACACTTTCAGAGTGGGTTTAGGTGCCCTGCTCACCTGAGAGCTCTCAGCAGCCCGTGGTGGGGAGGCCTCGTGGCACCGCTCTGCAGAGACCTCGCTGATGCTCCGGAGCTCATGGGGAGCTTCAGACTCTGGAGGTACCTGAAGAGCAAGAGGAGAAGCCTGAGCCACCCAGAGCCAGGCTGCGGGGAGCTCAGGGGGAGCCTGGCCCGGTGACAGACAGCTGAATGCGCGCCTTTGAAGGGTTAATTGCAGCTATTTGGGAGCTATTCACCGCTCACTTTGACTGCTGTTCCCTCGGGCCACAGCTCCTCTATTCACAGGCGTATTTAATGATCGGGGATTGCCTGGCTATGGAATTAATGACAGATATCCACAGCGCCGTCCCTGCCTTCAGCAGCGCTGCTGAAGCTGAACCGAGACCCCACAGGCACCATCAGCTGAGGTGGCCACGGGACATTTGGCTGCTGAGTCCCAGCTCGGAGCAGCCCTGATCTGCTCCCCTCTGAGCCATGCAGGGGACAGTGGTGTCCAAAAATCCACACCCCTGCTTGCCTCAGATCCCACATGCTGCCAGCATTCACCTCTGAGGAGGGGACACTGCTGTCCCAAAAATCCACACCCCTGCTTGTCCCAGCTCCCACGTGCTGCCAGCATTCACCTCTGAGCAGGGAACACTGCTGTCCCAAAAATCCACACCCTCACTTGTCCCCATTCCCAGTGCATTGCCAGCATTCCCTTCTAAGCAGGGGACACTGATACCCCAAAAATCCACACCCCCTCTTGTCCCAGCTCCCACATGCTGCCAGCTCTCCCCTCTGAGCAGGGGACACTGCTGTCCCAAAAATCCACACCCTCACTTGTCCCAGCTCCCACATGCTGCCAGCTCTCCCCTCTGAGCCGTGCAGGGGACACTGGTGGTGTCCCAAAGTTCCACACCCTCACTTGTCCCAGCTCCCACATGCTGCCAGGGGACACTGGTGGTGTCCCCAAAGTTCCACACCCTCACTTGTCCCATCCCCACGCCAGCTCCCTGCTCCCACCAGCACACCCAGCCCTTCCCCAGCAGCAGCAGCAGCAGCAGGGATGGAGGTGACACTGCTGCCTGTCACCCAAAACTCCCCCTGACACCGCCAGGGCTCTCGGGAGGGGAGAAAAAAGCCACCAGACAAATGCCAGCTGCTGGCAAAGAGCCATCCCCAGGGAGCTGGGCAGACCCTGGGGCTCCTGAGCCCGGCCTGCCTCTCGCCCCGAGCATCCCCAGCGCTTACCCTGGCCTGCCCTGGCAGAAGGTGGCACAGAAGCTGTCCCTGGAGTGCTGGCACTCGCACCTGCCCGCCGACCTCTTGCGCCGCCTGGGCGGGCTGCCCAAGCCATAGGGAGCGGTGTGCCTGGGGAACACAAAGGAATTCAGCTATGCCACCAGCTTTTTATTGGCCAACAGGTTTATAACAGGGTCCTGGGAGGCGGCCAAGCCAGTGCCAGGATAATAAAGGCTCATCTATAGACACACGGTGAAAAGGTCACTGATAGGTCTGAGCCTTTAAACTCCAGCTCCTCTCGCAGCTCACCCCTCCCTGTTTGGAGATGTCTGTGCTGGCTGGGACGGGCACTTTTCTGTCCTTGCAGCAGCCCAGGTGCCCGTGCCAGGGCTGCCACATGGGCTGCCATGGGTGGCACAGCTCGGCTGGCCCAGCTCAGGTGCCAGGGCTCTCCTGCCCTGCAGGTTTCACACAGGGCACCGCACAGCCCGACACGTCCCGGGGCCAGAGCAGGTTCTTGTGCTCCCAGCCCAGAGCTGCTGATGGCAATCTCCTCTCCCAGAGGATTGGCAGGGACTGCAGCTACTCCCCGAGCAAGCAGCGAGTTGTGAATGCATGTCAGCGAGCGCGATTATAACCACACCTGAGCGCATGTGTTGTGCTCCAGTGCGATGGCCACGGGTCTGGGAGCGCTGGAAAAGCTGCTCCAGCATTCCTGAGGGCAGCACTTGGCAGTGCCAGCCCTCCGCTGTCTCATTAACAATACTGGCAGCAGGCAGCCGGCGTTACCGGCTGCGAGCGGGGAGAGGAACTTCCCCGACTTGCAGCCACAACATCTCCGCCTTGCTCCGGGCTCCAAGAGGTGCAAACCTCAGGAAAAGCCGAGCCCGGGAGGGAGCTTTCAGCCCGAGCCCTGGGGGTTGGCCAAACACCTGAGCAGCAGGAGCAGCAGCACAGTTTGTCCCTTCCTCGGCTGCCCGTGCACCTTGGAGCAGGTGCTGCCAGAGCCCCGCAGCCCCGGGAGCCTTTCCCACCCTGCTCCAGGGGAAGGTACAGCCCCTGCCCATCAGCAGAGCCACTCCGAGCGCCGCGCTCCTGCTCCTGCTCCTGCTCACCCAGGGGTGTTGACCCAGATGATGTCCAGGTGACAGAAGTAGATGCATTCCTTATCCAGCCAGCTGTTGCAGGAACATCGCTTGCTCCTCGGCGGCGCGGCCAGGTGCGACTCGGCCGGGGGATGGCCCAGACCTGCAGCGGCACAAGGAGGGAGGGAGGGAGGGATGAGCGGCCGCTCCGTGTCCCCTCCGGTGTCCCCGTGCCGCGGGAGCGCCGGGAGCTCCCCGGAGCGAGGGTCACGCACCCCCGGGCACCCCAGGACCCCCTCCCCGTGCCAAGGGGGCTCAGGGGAT